CAGATGTCAGGGTGCTTGCCTGGCCCCGGACCTGGACCTCAGCAACAGGGTTCACAGCACACTGAGATCCACTTCCTATGGCTCACTGAACCAACGACATCAGACCACATCTCGTCAGGCCTGGACCAACCGCGATGTTTTCCAAAGACCGCACATTCCGAAACGATGACTCCGCCGCTGCAGAATTAAAAAAAATGTACGGTAGATCATCTAGCAGCTCAAGGCTAGACCAAGAATGGGAGGCAAGCGCAGCATGGCTGGCTAGGGAACCTCTGTACGCGCACCCCTGCCATCTCTGGTCCCTAGCGAACCCCGATCGAGAGGCTTCCACCACGGTAAGTCGCCCGTGCCGTCCTCGACCCGGCCACCAGCCCGCCTCACGGAGTCTTCTCGATTGGGCTGCAACCAGCCGTGTTGAGCGACTTGAACGACCAAGTTCATCGGCGGCCTCGAGTACGTGCGGTTGGGCGATGGAGAACCAGCGGGGTTGAGTAGGCGGGGTGGAGGGTGTCGTGTTCATAGCATTGTATTTGTCAATTCGTCTTACCCTGCCAGTAACACGCGTAGATGGAGCAGAAGAGCCGTATTCCTTATCCTCCTACCATGCGGATTACGCAGGAACAGCCTATGTATGAGACGCAATATAGACCAGGTGTGTTACTCGGATGCGCTTCTTGTGGCCGCTTTTGTGCGCTTTTATCTAGGTAATCATACTTTACTCCATGGTAGCGGCCACCGCAACGCCAGGAACAAGAATATTGCTGACAATCCGCGAAAGCTAACGCCGTCGACAGACTACCATTATAGTTCGAAGATGATTTCCAATCATCCTTCTCAAGTCGAGTCAACGGGCACTTAGTCGGTCATGCGCGACAGAGGATGTCGCGGGCAGGCTAGGAGAGACCAAGGCTTTCACTTCACCGCAAGAAACCACGCAAAGGCCCACGCGTCAAGATTTCGGTTCGGAACTGCCTTCCTGCCCGCCAATCCTCTCTTGTGGCCGTCCTCAGATCAGCCTCCCGCGCTTGCGTGAGTTGGATATCTTCTCTTCGTTCAGATTGTCAGCTTCCGCGACCTACTGGCCCCATACCACCAGATCTCCTGAGGGCTTTCGTGTATCCGCCGCCCAAGGGCCCGTGCCTCTGGCGGCCTACAGCGACCAGAGTCCTCCTTCCCTTTCAACGGCGGCCAGGCACTACTGGCATGGCCCACAAGAGCTGACGGCTGTCCGAGGCTACGGCCCGGACCGGCTTTCCGGAAACCTTCAGTCTCGCGAACCGACGCCACGCCGACACCATCGACCCCGCCGCCCAAGCAGCCATCCCCACTGCAACAGACCCTACACCATAGAGCAGGTCGATTTCATTGCATACTTCCGTGACGATCTTCGCCTGCTATGGAGAACCGTGGAGGAAAAGTTTGCCGCCGTCTTCCCCAGAGACGCCAATCAGGGGCATAGACGACGGGCAGCAGGCCTTCAAGGCGTCTACTACCGTCATGGCAAACAGTCCTCCGAGAGACATTGCCGGAGTCGGGGCCAGAAGACAACCGACTTGATCGGTCTGCTCGCCACGCACCCTGACCAAGCTATCAAGTATTCGTGGGTCTCGCATGAGGACAGGGACCATTGTGCGAGCGTCGTCATGTACTCCCGTACGTCTCTTCCTCTCTCCGTCTGCGTTAACTTGGGAACCCACGTTGCGACCGAGCCTGATCATGCTGAGCGCGCAGGGTGTAACAGATAATGCGAGTCTGACGCAGTCGCCCATCGTGAAAAGTGCACATAACGACTCGTCAATTGCCATCATTAGCTGTAGTGTCTTTCCTCCTCTTCCATGACAGCCGCCATGGTCTGGTCGTGGCGCTACGGACGTCCTCTGGGTAGAATTCAAACTAGCACTCGAACGGTTCTTGCCTGAACATCTTGACTGAAGATACAGCGCAATAGATGATTCCGTGACGACGCGGACCAGGTGGCAGGCGGCTCATTTCTGTCCCATGTCCGAGCCCGTCACCACCCACCTTGTCAATGCTATACCAGAAGTCACACTAAGAACGGTGCACAACTTGGTTGGCTGCGCGAGTTGCTTTCGCGCCGGTGACCCCAGGGCAAATCCAATCGACGACCACCGAGGACCCTTGAGGGCCCCTAAGGCCGCTCGCACCAGGTATTTTGAGTGGGCCGAATGCCTGTTTGAGTGCTGTCCATCCCTCTAGCCGTGACAAGGCTCATCCCAGCCTGGTCTAGTATTGCTGGGCCGAAAAGTTGGTGGCAGAGGAAATGTCTTCTTCCAACACGAGGCGGGGCGACAGAATGTCCAAGGCCCTCGAGATACTTGCCGCGCGTGTTCTATTCAAGCCCGTCCGTCCGGTGGCACAGCATCCAATTCCTTGTTTTCTCACTTCGAGGCTCCATGCTTCCACTCGGCACCACCGGGTACAGCACCCATCTTCAAGTCCCCCTCGCGCCGTACACAGGCATCCCGTACGCACCAATCCATGAATGCTCGCTCCTGATAGGAAGACGGCGATGCGCGCAGGCCACAGCAGGCTCCACAATGGCGGGTCCATGCTAGCGCCAGGATGCGGCTTTCAGGTTATTCGACGAGATCAGCACTCTGCTTTGCGCCTATGTTGGAGCAACTGCGAACATCGAACACATCAAGACGCCTTCCTTCTGACTCGGGCCACGACATCTTCCGTCCTCCCGCGTGTCCTTTGTGCTTGTACCTGACGGGGCCAGCGCAATGGTGAATAGCTCAATGATGAATAGGGTCCATGGACCAGCGATGGGTACGCTGGGTCGGCACCAATACTGTGAGCTTGGACCACCTTCTGTCCACACTTGGCTCCGACTCGATGGTTTATGCGAGCTGTGTGAAGGGTGAGATGCCCAATTTCATTCCAACGACAGTTGCTCAAGACACCGGAGTATGGTTTCCTCTCGCAAGCAAACAACCACATGGTCCCGACAGACTGGTAACGAACATCACTGGCGCGCTCGAAGACGGCTTCTGTGTCATGAAGTACGATCACGGTATCATGCCGCCGGCGCGTCACACCGTATTAAAGGCAAAGGCATCGCCGTGGTCGTAAGGGACATGCTCGTGGTGTGCACACCAGTTTCTCATCGTTGTGAATAATCGTCCGTCATTCTGAACACCCTCGATCCTTTCCGCTCGAAACTGACGTCATGTTCCCCCCTCGGCAACGGCGTCAGCGACCTGGCCAATCACAACGTCTACACCACATGCAGCAGAATCCGGTCCGGCGTCACGAAGCCAGTCCGACACCACGTGTGGTCCGAGCTCTACAACGGCGCAGAGGGCCTTCCCCCAGGACCCAATACCGACAAGAGACGACCACCTCCAAACCATGGGGATACCCGACATTGGCAAGCCCAGGCAATTCCGGCAGTGTTCACTTGGATCGATGCGAATTGCAAGATGTAGAGTATGTTGCTGTCACCGAAAATCCGGTCTGGTGCAAGGCCAGTAGGTAGCTGATATCTACAGCTCCGTGTCTTTGATGCGTTCAGTGCTGGAGCTTCTGGATATGGTAGCCTGCGCTATTGTGGAGATTGATACCGCTGCAGACATCATTGAAAGCAAGAACGCGACGTACAAAACCGCTGTATGGCTGTGAGTTGATCTATTTCCATTGTCCAAGCAAGAGGGGCTGACAATGCGAAGGGTGGACCAACTGGGTTTGGAAGTCAACGGTCTTGCCGTTGCAGTGGATGCCATGGCAGTGGACACCATCGCCGCCCCTACGATGCCTTGGGATGGGAGAGCTGGATTGGCTTGACGATCGCAATGGAAGCAAACACGCGTCTGGCTCTTGGTACTTCATTTCCTGTATTTCGGACCGGAACAAGGCGTCTCCGCATAAACATCAGACCGGGCACATGCCCACTTCCGAACATGCTGTGCCATTCTTCTTCATGATCGACTGGTGCACTGTGGTCCGATTGATGGGGGCTTCTGCATGAGCAACTTTCTCCTTTCCTCCTCGTACTTTCTCGCAATCGGCATCTCTTGCCATCAGCGCGTGTGAGACATGGATGAGATATTGCCGACGATGTCCCTGAGCGCACAGGGGGGTTGAGACATGTGGGTAATAAGGTTCTGCGCCGTTACCGTACTGTCGGGTCGAAGCAGGGGCGCAAGGGCCTTTTGCAGAGTCTCCGTCAGCCTGTGGTGCCGAAGGAGGAAACGAGCCCGTGAACGAGGGTCCGTCCGCCTGCATCCATCAGTACCGCACAACCCCCACAAGGGCCCTAGCCTCCCTGTCAGAACAGAGAAAGGTACGCGGCCGTGGGGGCTAGCTGTCTCCGAGAGTCTGTTGGAGGGGGCAGAACATACGTTCTTCGAGGACCGGGCCAGGGACGCATTTCCTTTGGAGATGACAGCCAATCAGGATGCACGGCCAAGGCTGAATGGTGACGCAAGAGTCAGCACCGTATCAGGATGCAAGTGTCCCGAAAAGGCAGGTATCCTGAAGAGGCAGGTACTATGTAGTGATGTCCAGGGTGTTGCATGCGTCAAGTGTCACGTGCCGTTCTCCCACAATAACGCTGTTTTGACAGCATGGCAAATGGCCCCAACCCGGAGAGTAGGACACCTGCGCCGAGAATCGCACAGGATCCCCAGTGCATTCGCTCCATATTCAAGACCGGATCCAAGTCCCGGGAAATGAACGGCCCACGAATGCCTCGATAACTTCGAGCAAACACGCTCGTGCAGGGAAACCCCGCTTATTCTGTGGTACCGGCTCGCTAGCAGCATGCAGGTGTAAAGTTTGTTGGTTCGTCGACCTTACGGGGCACGACTAGGGATAACCGAAGTGTACGCAGTGCCGGCCTCATGCACCGTGCTTGAATGATTGACCTGTTTATTGATTGAGCTATCTCATGACTCGTGGGCCGCGGCTTCGTTGGAAGTCGACGTACTTGTTTTAGGAAATGATTGCTCATCGCTCTGCACTCTTGCAGCGCTTTGCTTCGCAATCTTTCGCAATCTTGGCTAATTCTCGGCCATCTGACGGACAGCGCAACCCACACCGCACAATTATCCCAGACGACGACTACTGTCGAAGACCAGTTGGGATGCTAGGCTTGGAACAGACACCAGTCAAGTCGTTTGCCGCCCTCGCGGAGTGTCTCCTGACAGTAGCCAAAGGCTGCCAGTGCACGACAGCAGCCTTCGATCAATTCTAAGAGGTGGATGGTCGTCGTTGGCTGTGGCGGCGACCCGAAGACACAAGCTGTCGCTTCTGCCAGCGCGAGGCATGCATAAGAGGCCCCTACACGGCAATACGTGAGACTGAACAAGCCCTTCACTAGACAGAGCCACCATGATGCTCAACTCATCCTATGTCGAGGACTCCCGGTCGATCAAGCTTGGTCGTGGGTGATTGACGAAAGCGAGTCTGTTTCCATTCTCATCTTGGACGCCACGTTCTGTCGTTGGCGGCACTGATGTTCCCAACAAAGCGCATCGCTAGCAAGCCCACGCTCCACAGCGAGTGTCGATCACATCAGGTTTACGACAAGCAGTATCGCCATCTCGTCACAAGTAAGTACACTCACCGACTGGCGAAAGAAACTTGAGTATAGTCAATTGCGGTGTGGCGTTCTCTCCCATCTACGGAATACCAGGCCAAATGATCCAGGATTATGGCATCTCGATGATCCTGAACCCCACTAATCCGAACATCTCTCGTGTTTGACGCTGGCTCGTCACAGCCAAGCTGCGCGCGTCAGGTGCAGCTCGAGTTTCTCATCTTTCTTCCCAAGATACGTATAGTGACATGTAGAGCATTGACGGTGCCGCAGAGGAGAATGATGAGCCAAAACGTAGTCATGGCGTGAAGAAACACCGAAGCGCAAAAGTGTACATGGTAGAAAGACGTCTGAACGAAGGAGAGGTTTTTCTGACAGATGCACTGGTCTCAAAGTGGGCTTGGTAGCAATGGTCGCAGGAATGGTAGGCGTAGCTGAGAAGACGACTAGAGCAGATCGTTGAGAAGCACGGTTATTGGAACGACGGAGCTGTCGGGGGCATCTAGGAGACTGTCAGAACATGCCGCTCCAGCCTCCGAGAACATAGGCCGCGGCGTAGACCTAGCAGCCAAAAGAACCTGGCAGATTTGTTTCCCGACAGTTCGGGTCAGTCCTCGAGTGTTGTGGGCGCAGGCGACATGGGGCATCGTTCTCGGCCCAGCGACGGCTCGACCTGGGCCATGGCGTGCGGTCGAGACCCCCCGAGGGAGGGGGTGGGGGGTGGGGGTGTTGTTTGTGGTCGAACAATGCAGGGCCAGGGCAGATTGAACTGCAGCAAGCCACTTCCTGCTGGAGCCACACTCGACCCAGGACCAAAATGGACTTTGGATCAGAAACCGCTTCGAGTGGGGTGGCACGGAACAGAAGCGAAGCAGCAATTCCGGAACAGCACCCAAAAGCCATTTCCAACTGTAGTGGTACAGGAGGAAATCATCTAGTCAAGCCTGATGAAGATTTGGATGTCGATGGATCTGAAGACCGCTTCACACTGGCTTTTAGTCCATATGTGCGAACGCTGCTGCGTTGCCGTCCCAAAGAGACTCCACCAGAGCCTCAGCAGACTTGGCACCACAGACGTTCCCTGAGAAGCAATACTGCTGGAACGAAGCGACAATGACCGGCGGTTCACCACCAAAGACTGAAGTTGAGGCCCGAGAGAAAAGGGCGAAGGACAAGGTCCGAAAGTCTGGTACCAGCGCCCAGGGCAAAGCGCTTCGATTAGGCGAATTTGCCGATGTGTTTTCGGCTGTCGTCTACTACAACCCGACATATCGGTGGCTGGACGGTGCCATCCACGTACCTGAAGGTCAAGACATCCCTGACGTGAATGCATTTGTAAGCGGCAGCGAGAGCCCACCTTTGAAATACAGCACACGCTGACACGAAACCGCACCAGTTGGCGCAGATTTTGAACGACTCGGCCTGCAATGGTCCCCAACACGGCCCACGGCGCGCGCAAACGTGCAGCCAGTCCGCACAGAACGCACAGGCAGGCGACACCTCCGTCCGCGACAACATGACGGCGGAGACTGGCAGTATGGATATTGACGCCGCTGCGGAGGCAAACGTCCTCCAGAACAACAGCGACGACGGCAACGGTGCTCGTTATACTGATGCTTCGCCAATCAGTCACGGCGGGAATTCGCAAGTCGCCAAAGACACTGGTAATGGGAGGCAGCTTCGCCATCGTCTACCCGACGGTCCGGCCCTTCGGGATACGGGCGGACGTGTTGTGAAGCAAGAGATGCCCGACGGCGCCGTCGCTGATGGCGCGGGGGAGGCTGACACGTCGGGGGATGCACGGGACATCAGTATGCATGGCCCCTTCGACAGTGTGGTTGGAAATAAGGCGCAGAACGGGCAGTCCGGCGATGTGTCGGAGTGGGAGACGGTGAATTCACAATACGCAGAAGCGCCGACTGCGCGGGTGACGCGCCGAGGCCTCACCAGACTGCAGGCGGTGAGGGTTCAACGAGTTTTGCAACAAATATCTCTGCACATGCGACTCGCCTCCCGTCAAGAGCGGATGCCGCCGCACAGGATGGTTCATCAGGACAGATGGAGAGGTTTGTCACAGCGAAATCGTAGGCGATGAGACTTGTCTCCGTCGTTTGCCAGGACCCGGCGAGCGTTGCATCGGAGAGTTTGTTGTTTTAAAGTGGGGTACCACCGGGAACCATGGCAATGTCATCATGTCTCCTGAATGCATTCTCCCGCGCGCCGAGGTGTTCGGAAACGTGTACGAGTCCATGAATGCGCCTTGAGGAAGAAGTCACCAGAACGATATACTGTAGATGCAGCCGTCAGGAATTGAGTAGTATTTGTTTCGAAGTTGTGCTTCTCAGGCTACTAGGCGCTATGAGAAGGCGCGCTTTGACCAATCGTTTGATGTCACCGCCTTCTTGCACCCTATCTCGGGGGCTGCGGACGAACTGCATGCGGCGCCGGCAGCCCGCTCCTCATCCAGTGTGCTTCGGCAGCTTTGCAGCCCCTGGTGCCTTCGGGTGTCCCGTCACGTTGGCACATGTGAAGCAGTAATACAAGTTGCGTCCGATCTTCACCATGCCCGCGTCTTCGAGGTCGTCAGTCGGAGTGAGCTCGGCCTCCTTAGAACAGCGCATGCAACGAAGCTTAGCAATCGTTGATCTGAACATGTTCAAAATTGATGGATAGAAATCTATTGCGTGTTGAGTCTTTCACTGGCGGATGCCAAGATGAGCAACGTGGAGCCTGCCTACGCGTTTATATTTTACAGGGACGCAGGTCTAGCAGTCCAGAGGCGGCCATCGTCGCTGCCCAAATTGCCAGTCCCGTCTGCGATCGCTTATTTCCACGTGTTGGAAGTGAAGTCTCCTCGCAGGCGGAGAGACCGGCGATACTCACGATCTTGCCCGGCAACGCTCATTGCTACCCCCGCCCGCTAAGCCGGGCTCTGTCTGACGCATTCGTGGGCGTATGCGTGCTATCATCATTTCTGACCATGGCAGCATGGGGAGCGTTTTACGAAGCTCCCGAGTACAGTATTTCTGACGTGGGGGATGTATCCGGATGGTTCACAGACACCCCTGACACAGCCGGGCGTAGCCCCACTACGAGCCAGAATCGGGCTCAGAGCATGACTGTCCCTCATGTGAGAGTGGTCGGGTATGGAGGTTGGCGAATCGGGTGGGCATGCCCGTCGGAGCAACTACGGTATCTTGTCTCGCAGTCTTTCAGCGAGAAACAGGCCCGACAGCCATGATGCAATTCCACCCCCTTGGGTTCTCTCGGGTCCCCTTGGGTCCAGATGTGCATTTCTGGGTACACCACGAAATCGGGCAAGGCGAGCACAATACGGCTACGACCAAAATCAGATTGTAGCCAGCGACCACCAGATTTGCTTCGCAGCACTTCTAGATCCACCCGCCGACCTCAACGAGCTCGTACCGATTGCCACGGACGGGATCCCTGCTCGCACCATTTCTGCCGTTCAAGACATTTTCAGAGGCATTCCGAAGTCGTTTCCATATCCGTCAAGCCACAAAAGTGGGTGTAGATGGCCGCTTCCCACCAACATCACGATAGGAGAAGAAGAATCGAAATGGCGTGCTGTGCAATTCAGCCTTGAGCAACATTTCATTGCTTTCGTTCCCTTTCAATGTCCTGGATGCGAATTGCGCCAATTTGGCCAGTATTTGATGCATGATCGATGTGGTGTGTAACTGCGAGAACGTCTCGACGCAGGCTTGACACAACGATGAGAAGCTGCCGCCTGATTGATGACACGCACATTCTGTCGTCCACAGCAGAACCCCCCTACTGTCGTTGGCATTATAGGGCTGTAGACGTGGGAAAGCAGTCTCGAAAGGGCCTTTGACCCATCACACGAGAATCTGTAGCAATGGCCATCACGATGAGACGGTGTAGTTATGGATGGACGTGGAACATAGAAGCTTCGAAGGCACAATCTAGTCGTATATTGAAGATAGCGAGTGTCATCCTATGTTTAACTACAAGAACGATCCACAAGATGCCAAATTCTACTAACTAACTGCCCAATAGCCAGCGCGTGACATCCGCCGTCCCAGGCACTCACGCGCTGTCACACGCTTTCATACGCTGTCACGTCTCTGCACTGGCTCTATCACTGAAAAGGATAGGTTCCCAGGCGGCACCACGAGGAGGTTGCAGAGTCCGAATTTCGCCGCCCACATCGCTCGAGGAGAAGCATCTCGGCGGCATCGTTGGAACGGTCATCAACGGAAAACAAAGGAAACGTAGAACCGATGCCCGGCAACGTCGAGAATGTCCATTCGACGGGATACAGAGGAGATGCAGAACCGATGCCCGGCAACGTCGAGAATGATCATTCGACGGGATACAAAGAGATGCAGAATGCAGAACCGCTGCCGGCAACATCGAGAATGTCCATTCGACGGGATACAAAGAAAATGAGTGCAGAACCGATGCCCGGCAACATTGGAATGACCATCAACGGGATACAAAGGAAATGCAAAGAAACCGTTGCCCGGTGTCGTTGGAAATGCATCAACGGCACCGCCATATGGCAGCGTCAACACAGGGTCAACGGCATCTCCGCGGCGGGGTGGGGCTGGAAGCCCAGCCCACCAAGAAACTCCCGATTCCAAGTGGGAAAAGACCTCCCTACTTATACTTTCATCGGCCTCCTCTCCTCTGCTGTAAGTTTGCAACATGGAAAGGGGCAGGTTTGTCCGTTGTGCGATGACGTCAAGGCCCCACTGTGTGCTTTTGGAAAAACAAACATTCTTGCATCTTGGACTATCGCTGGGTGAGCGTTGTGGCAGGGGTTGGTGGAAAACATCAAACTTGCGGCTTCCAGATGAGCAAACGGCTGGCGGTTGGCTTTTGGCAGACGGGGTCTAGACCGGGTCTAGACTGAGCGACGAAAATGTGGAGCGACCGGGGTGCTGGGTCTGGACTGTCAGATGGGGAACAATGGCAAGAAGTTAATGAAGAATGCAGGAGACGGAAGAGGCTCCGCAGACGGCTTCCGGCCCGGGGCGTAGGGCGAGTACGAGGTATATACTTTTCCTAGGTGCGGCCCGATCTGGCGCCAACACCTGGCGGGACCATCCGATAGAACATCTTTTGGATGTGACCATTCACCCCACCTTCTCGACCGGCCACCCCCACCTTCATCGTCCAGAATGACTGCATCGGCGGAACTGGTTTCGCGCGTCAGCTAAGGTCACTTATGGTGCTTTACCTTGACTACCTTTGCATCGAGTCGCCGCCCTCACCTTCAGATTGCACCATCCGGAGACTCGTCAATTCATGGACTTCCTGCTCCAAGGCCGAGAAGAGCCCACCCAGAAACAAAAAAGGGCCTCCTAACATTATCCGGAAAGGCGGGGCTGGCATGGCGGCGGAAATAGCTTTGGCTTACACGGACACGACAACCGAGTTTCCCGGCTAGCAAGGCACGTCGGACCGCGCTCCTCAAGCTGACACAGGCAATCTCTCTCAAGTGGTTGCCTGTCAACAGACTTTTGGTACATGAACATAGAAGCGACATCGGTTGTGATAGTGTCAGCTCAAAGGGCGATATGAGAATGGTCGTGAGACCGGGTGAACTAGCTTCCCAGCTTGGCGTGGCACGAACAAGCATTGAATTATAAACTATGTACTGTCGGAAATGGTCAAGATGTGTATTTCCAAAGACCGCATGACAGTTGGTGCCGTCTGACACTAGATCATGTGTGATTGCGTGGTGTGAGAGATACCGTGTTCCTGTGCAGGTCTTTGGTCTTTTGTTTTTGATCAACTGACGAAGCTTGAAATGTGGGATACGCTACACGATGGCGGAAACCCCATTCTCGTTTCTAATGACTCCTCACAATAGTGTCATGCGTTCCACTTCTGTGACTCCATCGTCAAAAGTGCGTCGGCCACTACTGTCGTGAGCAAAACGGTCGTATTTTCACGCAGGGGATCATCCTTACCTGTCAGCTAGGTACATGGAGCTTTCCGCCGCTATACTCTCTCGCCAGAAGTGACACGTAATGAGGCTGTATCATCAGAGACCTGCAAGAGTGAGGAAACGGCTTGATCGGAAGCAATGCGGCCCTCTCCCTCCTGATCGACCAATGGCGGCATCATTCGCTGTATGTTCGCGGTTATCCTGAGGATTTCCGACTGCAAGGCGAGCTCCTGCTCGGGACCCATATGACCTCGAAGAGTATACTCTGTGATTGCTCGCAGCTGATCCGCGGCCAGCTGTCGAAGTCTGTTACAGTTTTCAACGGATCTTATGGTGCTCATGGTTAGCGTTATGGATTGGGGCGGTGGGGCAAACATCGGCCGTGACAGAGGAATGGGAGAAGATCTAAGATGATGTGTGCACCACGGCTTACGCTATGTATCTCTCATGGCTTTCAGACCTGTCCTGAAAGAGTTCTGTGATATATGTCGCACGGCAGAGGTGAACTGTGACTATGGGTGAATCGAGACAAAATAGAAACAGGATCCTATGGTCACTTTTCGACCATGCTTAGACGTAGAGCCAATAGTCACTCTGCGCCCAGTATAGCCGCTGCTTCCATTCGGATATGGAGAAGTAAGCTGGCAGGCTGAAGTCGACTCCGCAAACAATGTGACAAGGAGCCTTTCCTGACATGTACCCTTCTCGCTCCAACAACAAGACTGTGGTTATCGACGGGGGCTACACAGCGGCTGACTAGTACAAAAGACTGGTTCTTTTCTCGAGACACAAAAACCCCTGACATCACCGCTGCCGGACTCAGAATCAAATTGTTCTTCCAAGTTTCTCTCCGCAGGTGTCAGGATCCATATCCAGGCTCGTATATGAGGAAGACCTACGAATGCTTATAACGAGAGTGTCGCCCTCGGCCACGGAGTTTCCCTGGAAGGTTGATGCGAGTTCGCTCATCTGGTAGTGCGCGTACAGGCCCTGCCAGCCACATCGCTCCGCCAGCTCGTGAACTAAACGTGACGACCGCACCACCAGGGCTTTGAAGAAGGTAGCGATCCCTCTGCGGACGTCTGCGTTGTGGTCTGAGTTCATAAATCCGCCAACGCTCCACTTCGCGTATGCATGCAAGACTTCTCCGTGCGCCAGTGCTTCCAGGATCGGTCGTTGCTGCGTGCTGAACTGCATGATGGGCAGTTTGTTCCTGTCTCCGACCAGACGACGCCGGCTGTTCAGGGCGGCGATGCAGCCCGCAGCCCTGATGGCAGACACCCCCATAATAGAGAGAGAGAGCGTGCCGACGGAAACCCTCCAGATGTGGGTAAGAAACTCCTCTCGCTCGTTGTCGCCTCGCGACGCCGATCCCAGAAGCGTTTCGGGCTGAAGCCGCACGTTGTAAAACGTCGTGATGGAGTGGTCCAGCGGCTTGGTCCCGGCCCGCACAGGGGGCACACGCGACACAACGCCGTCACACATGCCTCTCGCGTCGTTGATCCGCACGACAAAGGGTTTCACCCCTCGGTCATCGCCGCCCACGATGAGCCGGGCGAAAACAACAGCAACGCGGGCCATGCCGGCTAGCAGCGAGGATGGCGGCATTGCTTTGACGGCGCCTGCGTTCGGCGTGTTCAGGGTAAAAGATCCGTCGGCTTCCATCGTCGCAGTCGTCTCCAAATTGCGGGCGTCGAGGCCATGGCCGACCTTTGTCAACATGACATAGGTCTTGCTTCCGAACTCCTCATGAACAGATATGGTCTTCCACAACCGACCGATCCGACAGGATATCTTGCCATGTATGAAGCCAGGATGCTCGAAGAGGTTGTGAGAGACAAAAATCTCGCACTTGGCGATTCCGGTAGCTTGAGGGGCACGACCTACAACGATAGTGTTCTCCCTCGATGGAGAGCGATGGTGGAGGCCATTGGACAGCGAATGGCCTACGAGGCAGCCCAGGTGCAAGGCAATATCGCGCCCGAGGTGCTCGATGTATTTGGAAAATCGTGCATTCAAAAGGATCCATCCTGGTTTGTCGAACACGGCTATGGCACTCGATCTGCGTTGCGGGACAACGAGAACAGGGCATACTCCAACTTGTTGACCCTCTTGCCCACGCTGGTGGAAAGGGCCAATGCTAAAGGCTACATCACGGCGCCGTTGGTTGAAGAGGAAACCATGGAGGACTTCATCAAGGCCCTGCCGGCTTTTGGGGCTCGTACGGACGTGATAGCAGAGCAGGCTCTACAGTCCAGGCTTTGATGTAGAAACAATCCAATTATTTTGATTCCAACACTTGCATCTTTACTCTCGCCATGTTTCAATGTCGTATGTCGCAGCAGAGATGAGCGCGAGGGCAGGACGGTTTGTATGGTTAGTCTTGATGGTATGAGACTAGCGGCGTTTCTGCTTGCAGAACCGTGAGATGTAACCTTCTATTGACCTTCATGTAAGGCAAGCCCTCGATTGATGAGAATGGCGATAGATTCCAACCAACCATTCGCCTGTATGCACCACTATCTTGGAGCTTTCCGCCACAACTGCGCTTCTGACTGCGTGCTACATTGTTTTCCTTTTCCGCCCTCTCTGAATGCGCTTGCTGTGAGGATTTACATCAACTGCCCTGACGCCGAGCTAATGCGACATTGCTCGATCACCGACACAGGCCACTAGGGAAGGGTCCAAACGACGTATTGCGGCAAGATACGCGCCTCACCTGAGGCTCCTCTAGGTTTGCGAAGGAATTCGTATGTTTTACTTGAACTGCCGCAGTTTCCTCTACATACACACCGAAAGCCTCGTACAACTAAGCCGTCCTACTCCGGAAAGCGGATGGCTACCTTGGTTTCCTTCTTCTCATTGAAGCGTTTGTAGTACTCTGGCGCGTCCTCGATGCCGATGACTGCGCTGATCACAAAGCTTGGGTGGGCTTTGCCGCTGTTGATAAGGTCGATCAACTGGGCAGCGTACGGCTTCGGATCAACGGCTCCTGTTCGGAAACTCAGGCCCTTGGCGAAGAAGGACGAGACGGGGAAGGGAATCGTGGGCGAAATGTCGCTGCCGTACGGTGCGCCAGGCGAATCGTCCTGTGACCTATACACGCCCAGTTGGCCCATGCCTCCTTTGAAATGCGTTACGTCAACCATCTGTTGTGTGATAATGCTCTCGTTCATCTCAAGGCTCGAGTTCAACGCCTCCATGCCAACACAGTCTACGGCGCGCATGACCCCGTCCGGCTCGCTAGCCAGAATCTGGGCGACGGGGTCTTTGTCAGCAAAGTTGATCGGGATGCCGCCGATGGAAGCGGCGAGATCCAGGCGCTCCTTCACATGGTCGACGACGTAGACCTTGGACGCTCCACGTAGAATGGCTGAGTAGGCAGAAAGCAGCCCAACGGGACCCGCCCCGAAGACGGCGACGGAATCGCCGGGTTCGAATCCGGTGTAGTCGATGCCGGCCCATCCCGTAGCGAAGATGTCCGAAACGGTCAGGTAGTCGCGCTCGATCGTCGAATTGGCGGTTTCGTGAGTCAATGGGATGGGGATCAGGTTGGCTTCAGCGAAAGGGACCCTGGCGTATTCAGCTGCGCATCTTCTTGTCAGCAATCCTCTCTTTGGCATGCCCAGGATGCATATGGAGCAGGCATATTCGTACCTTGCAGACCGCCTAGACCCATCTCACTATTCCCGAAGCCGAAGTATTCCTTCGACCTCGGCTCCATCTCCAGATGATCCTCAGACACGGTGTCGGGAATGATGACATAGTCCCCAACGGCGAAGGAGGACACGGCGTCGCCAATCTCCGAGATGTAGCCGACGGCCTCGTGACCCATTGTCCATGGCACCGCACCGCCCATGTAGCCGCGATAGATGTGCAAGTCGGATCCGCATACGGCCGAGGTGGTCACCCGCACAACGACATCCGTCTCGTTCAGGATGGCTGGCTTGGCGACATCTTGTACCATCATTTCAAAAGGCGTGCCATGGTAAACGACTGCCCGCATGGTCGCGGCTGGCCAGGAAAGATTGAGCGACATGGTTTGGCAGCAAAGAGCGTTGACGCTTGAAATACTTGTGTGTATGAAGCGACGATGCGATTCTATGGCGTGTGTGACGACGGTCTGATGCGATTCTTGGTTTTCATTAACAAGAGGTTTGAGACACGGCGAGAGCCATAGTTATACGGGCACATGTTGCCAAATGGCATGCGGGCTTTTCTCTACTAACACACTTGATTTGCTACGCTGGCACATGTTGTTGGAGCACTCGTAGCCTAGCCAGTTGGTGTAGCAAGTAGCTCGAGCAACAAATGTTGAAGAAGCAACAGGGTATGCGATATGCCTCGCACGCGTCGAAATAGACGCTCCGGCCGATCTGACCGTCTTCGCTTGTGGAGCTATGGCTGCCGTATTCCGATTTGCACGTCAGCATCCCAAATGTCACGCTCAAAGGCGATCTTTCTCCACTTTGTCGAGATGGAGGCAGATAATGGACTGGTCCAGAGCCCTCTGTGGCGTCAATCGGCAGCAAAAGACGACATGGGCGCTGCGCGGATACCACCAGGGATGATGACGACCCACACATATGGAGGTTCAAAAGCATATCTGGATTCACGGAGGCAACAACAGTGGAAACATTGGAGCAGCTTTTCGCCGTCTCCATAAGGTTTGAGGTTATAGACCAGCGCCACACAGCGTCAGCCAGTTTGATGCAAGTCAGATCTGCTGCTTTGCAGTGGTCGAAGGGATAGTCGGGTGTAAAGGCTGCCGTGATGCAGATTCCTTGAGGAGGCCGCCAGGAAAAACCTCGTAGTAGCTTTCGACTCTGCGAACCCCGCGTGCCCCACTCTTCACCAGACCTTGTCATGAAAATACAGCGCATGTCGCAGTGTCACTTCCATCCGAAGAAGCATTATTAACTAGACCCACAGAGATTATATGACATTGATAGGCGCCGAAAATCACCCTCTGCTACGCATCTTGACTCAGTTGCACGTACTCGACTCCCGGAACCATGCCTTGCGTCTGGCAAACGCACGCGTCCATGTCCTCGTATGTCGCTTGAGAACCTCCCGTGCCGTACAGACCCGCCTCCGACTCTCGTCTTGCCTTCGCTCGGTCGGCGACGGGGCCCACAGAGCCCAGCAGCATTTTCTGGCCGAGGAGCGGGCCCGGGCCCCGCAGCAGTATCTGGCCCGCGTCCAGGTGGAGATGGTCGATGATGTCCATGCCGGCCTGCCCCAGCTCATCCAGTTCTTTCCACTGCTGTCCGCCCTTGCTATGCGCAGACCCGAGAGAGACGAGCTGCATCGTGTAGAGATCTTGACGCAGGGACTTTTCCGACTCTTTGACGCGTTTCGCCAGCGGGACGTATAGTGCCTTCCACTGCTTTTTGATGTTGATGAGCGTTACGTTAGGGACGTCGTCCGGCAAGAAGCTGACGGAGATGGTCGGCGTCGCTCCGTTGTCACTTGTCAGGCTCGCACGGGCGACTTGGGCTTGCAGTATGAACTGGGCCTGCAGCTTCGATATGCCAGCCGCATTCAACGTCGGCGGCTCGCCCATGATCTTTTCGTGCGTATTCATGAAGTCGTCCAGGCTCCAGCTCTTGGCAAAACGAGAGAGTGCCGCAACGATCTCTGGTTCTATTTGGTGTTTGACATCTACGTCGCCTACATCCCGACTACGTCGAACCTGGCCGATGACGGCGCTGATCCGATGCTCGGCAGTTGTGATCTCTTCGGGGCTCGGAGAACTCGCCGTCGGCGGTCTGTCGTCCCACAGACGGATCATTTCTGCCTTGGATCGCGCTGCTAGCATGCCCTGATAGAGTTGTTTCTCATCCGCCGCGTATGGGTCATCATCGGTATCAGACAAGTAATCCAGACACTTGACCAAAACCTGAAGCTTATGGATGTATGCGAGCTGTTGCAGGTGGCTCAGCAGCCTGATCTGGGCAAGCGTTTGCGACCTATCTAGCAAGCTGTTATTGATGACATGAACAACGAACAGGAAGCTGCGGGACTTTGCGCCTCGCACAGTCCAAGGCCGGAGCAGGCGACACGCTTCGTTATGCTCATTGTATGAGTATCGAGGCGGACGAGTTACGGTCAGTGGATAGTGCGTGGGCAGGGTCTGGTCTACGTCTGTTTGTAAGCTATTGAGAGGTCTCGATGGATTACAGCCCATTGTTACGGCGAGACGAACACGAGAGTTCCTACGTCGGCCTGATGGCAGACAGGCATCGGCGCGATGTCTTTTCATACTTGTACCGCTTTGCGCAAGATCCAGAAGTGGTGACATGGGGCCGGTACATGGCTGCCGAGTTCAGCGTCCTAGGCGATTGACTTCGCTGCTCGATGTTTAGGCCGTATACGGATTCGAAAGAGTCCAAACCATCCCCGTGGCGCAAAGAGCCACATTTTGCAGTGTTGCGTTGTACTTCGTCGAACCCACATCAGTTACACCACGTAGGGGGTCGATTTGGGCAACGACACCCAGAACTGCCCGTGATCGCATGTGCAACGACACCAAGACCTGCATCCAGTCTACAAGACGTTTCATGGGCTCCACGAAGTCTACAGCATACAGCCTTTGTCAAAGATCATTTAAGGTCTCCTCCCCAGACCGCCCTATCCGTAGACTTCCCGGTATCAGAGACGGAGTAACAACCACTGAGCTACCGTCCTTGCTCTTGCCATCCGTCAGCCAAAGCCTTCCCGTCGACTATCCGCTACCCACCAAGGGCTCACGCAGCCAGCGCAAGCAGCTGAACTCCGCCATGTGGAATGGTACCACCTTCACGACCATCTTTATGTGGGGTCCGCTCTTGTATGCTGCCACGCTCCTCCTTCACCAGTATCTCCGACTACGGCACATCCCCGCCCTCCCTCTGCTGGATTCTCCCCTTGGTGGCTTCTACGTGCCGTGTATAGCGGTAGCATGCACCTGAAGTTCTACGAGGCCGGCCAAAAATACGGTGCTTACGACTGTTTCCAATGTCGTTCACAACGCTCGCTAACTCCTCTCACAGGATCTCTTGTTCGCATCGGTCCAAACGACCTTGTGACGAGCGACCCGGACCTCATGAAGCGTATGCTCGGCGTGCGCACCAAGTACACGCGTTCAGACTGGTACAACGCGATGCGACTGGATCCGAGACACGACAACGTGCTGTCTACCAGAGACGATGCAGTGCACACCAGACTCCGGTCTCAGATGGCCGGAGGGGTAGGTCATCTTCTCTCGTGTGCCACAGGTCGATTTGTATGGACTGCTGACGATCGCGACAAAGTATTCTGGCAAAGAAGTAGTCGAACTTGAAGCCAAGATCGACGAAAGCGTCCTTCGACTCATGTCAATGATCGATACGTATGCTTCTCAAGATAAAAGGTTCGACTTCGGCCTGAAGGCGCAGTACTTCACGCTCGACGTCATTTCAGATCTTGCATTCGGCAAGCCGTTCGGCGATCTGGCTTCCGATTCGGACGTTTATGACTACATTCACACGACGGAACAAAGCATGCCGAACATCGTCGTCGCGGCCGTTCTGCCCTCTCTACTCCATGTGTTATCGTGGCCTCTGCTTCGGCGGCTGATGCCTTCGGAAAATGATGCCACCGGGTTCGGAAGGCTGATTCGGTACGTCTTGTTCGCGTCCCATCTCGGACCTGGTCTGCGCTTGGCCGCTGAATCGTCGACTTGTGCGGTCTTTGTTGCGTTCTCGCAAGTCCGGCACAGCTGACACAGCGACAGGATGGCGAAGGAAATCGCCGGCGAGCGCTTCGGGCCAAGCAAGAAGACGAGGCAAGACATGCTTGGCTCTTTCGTAGCACACGGCCTGACGCAAAAAGAGGCGTCTTCGGAAATCCTCATGCAAATGTACGACTTGCCGAGATCTCTTCGGTCCTATACTCTGAGGCCACTACTAACCCTTCCGACAGACTCGCTGGATCGGACACGACGGCCACGGCCATCCGAGCTACGCTGCTTCACCTCATCACCAACCCACGAGTGCTCGCGACACTTCGTGCAGAGATCGAGCGCTT